CACACACACACACACACACACACACACACACACTTAGTTGGCTCATTGTCAGTTGTATCCAGTAATGGTTGTTTGTGAGCTTAATTTATTTTCTAGCAATCATAGACTAAGCATTATCATAGTCCTATACAGGTAGCAAAGCAAGCATGCATCATCCTGTCATTATAAGCCTGAGTCTAGATCCTCAAAACCTCTCTTTGAAGTTGCTCTCATTCCTCCATGCAGGGTTGGTCAGAGTACAGCATAGTTTTTCAGTAGCTAATTTTTTGAGTGTAGATTGTCAGCCCTTTATTCTGAGTTACTTCTTGATGCAATAGGATTTCCAACTTTTTGGTTAGCAGCAAACATGCTAACCATTTCACTGCCTAAGGAATCCTATAATCCAGTAAGTTCCAAATAAATTCAAGCTCATTCCTTTGCTCCATCACCTAGAGAGGAGAGTGCTTTGGGCTATTAATATTACAATCTTACCTCAATACTCTCCTATATTTTTGCTTACTTCCAACACATACATTATCAAAACCTCTGATAAATTATCTATGTTACAATAATGAGTGTGGTTTCTTTTCCCTTCTTTGGCACTGTGACTTTTTAAATTGTGGAAAACATATTCTCCACACAATTATATTATGTAACTATTGCAGCAAAAATCCTTAGAATTAACTAAGTGATAACTTAAGACAAAAATTATATTTGGCAATTTATTTCAAATTCTCTTCTACTAAAACAAGAATATAATTTTATAAAAATGAGTATTTACTTGTTTTTCTTTAAATGTGTTCCAGAATTTCACTACTTTGATAAGGCTTTTCTGTTAAATGTGACCCATTACCACTGTGGCGATTCCAGTTCCATAGGGTAGAGGAGAGCACAGATGGTTTCCAAGGCTAGGTGCTTCCCTGAAGCAGACTGATACAGCCTTCTCTACTTATGGCTAGTGGATTAGAACTTCAACATTTTAATTACCAACTGAACACTTAACCATTTCTCCAGTTTATAATACACTATTATATTTACAACAAATCATTAAATTATTAAAAGAAAAATGCTACATGAACTAAGATATAAATTATTCCCTTTAGTTTAAATTCAAAATAATCAATGCATCCAAACTTGGCAACTATACATTTAATATTAAATTATTAATTATTTCGATAGTAGTCAGAAAAAAAATAGGATTTACATTAATTTAACTCCCTTAGAGCCATGAGTGCCAAATAGTGCCAGAAAATGAACCCCCTCGGGTTGGAAGGCACTCAAATATGATTGAGGAATGACTGCCTTCTAAAAGTAGAGTAGAGAGCTCTTGGAAGATGGTACTCATGTAGGATTGCCTATGTGAACAGCTCCCTGTGGGATCACCAGATTTGTGGGTAAGGCAGCTATCTGCGGGGACTAGGATGTGAGACTGGGTCTTGTGGCACCCCAGGCTTCTCTTTTGTCAGTTCTCCCATAGAGCATGCAGCTATGATCCTCAAGGCGGTGGTCCTTGTTCACAGCACCCACCAGCGTATTGCTTCCCTGGCCAGTGCTGTGGCAACTTCCCGTTTTTGAAATTTTCTTTTCTTTTTTCTTCTTTTACCTCTTCCCACCCCTACCTCCAGTTTGGTGGTTCGCCAATGTAGGGAAGTGGCTTGGGCTATTGATATCTCAGGGATATCACAGGGAAGCCCAGGATGCTGGAAACCACAGTGGTCCATAGAGGGAAGAGAGTTCCCCTTGGAGATAATCCCTAGCCAAATCCCAGCTCCTTCCTGCAGATAAATAGATCCAGCCAGTTGGAGAGATTTTATCACCAAGGAAACAGAAGGACCATTGGAATCCACCAAGAATGGGTTCTAGGAGGTCAGTAGAAGTGTTTCAGTTTTGTTTTGAGAAATAAACACAAATCTCATCATCCTGCAAGAAGAAATAGAAACTGGTATTCCCCAGGTTCCCAGCAGCCTTCCTGCCACAGGCCAGGTAGCCTTTGGAACTGGTGCCCAGACCCTGATCACCTTCTGAACTGAAGCCCCTCTTCCCTGGGGTTTCTACTATAAATCCCCATTTACACCCTAGGACCATGAATAAGGAGTGGATAGGTGTGACCTATACAGAACTGTATGTTAAAGACACAATAATGGAAAGAGTGTACACATCTTAGATACTACACAGGGTTGATAAGGGACTCTGGTAGATTCATTATACTTCTCCTTTACCCCAACCACAATAAACTGGAACCTGTTCCCTCCAACTCAGCAAGATACAACCCCCTTTATCTTACCAAGTAGCATTGCACCTCCCATAACCCTCTTCTCCAACTCCTTAAAAATTAGTATACCCAAGGGAATGCTTCCTGTGATTAATATCACAACTTCAAACCTACTACAGGGCACCTAAACCCTAATTATCCTTCTCACCCAGCTAACACTCCCTTATCTCTGCACAATTCCTTTTTTCAGCACCTATCTTATCCTTCCCTGCCATAAAGATCCCGCTCCCCCTTCACATCCCAGAAGATTACATCCCATCATCAGCTCACCCAACATGCCATGTTTACAACAGACAACACCTGGGTCTGCTGTAAACAATCTAGAGAAACAGAAGTGAATTACTGAAGATGACTTGAAACCAACAGTTTATACAGAAGAAGCAGCCCTTGAACTGACATTAAAGAATGCTTGAGATTATTGCTTAATGCTGTTCAGGAAATTTGGGAATCAATCCTGAAAACAAATGAAAAAATAGAGATACTAGAATTCTTACCCTGAAGGGAAGTTCAGAATTTGAGGAATAACAACAGAAATAGATGAAAAGGTAAAGGATATCGATATAATAGGATGGCAGAGATGGAGAAATGAATCAGTGATCTTAAAGATAAACAGGCAGAATTCAGCAAATGAGACAGTCAAACAACAAAAGCAAAACAACCTGAAGAAAACCTGAGAACACGTGAGATGCCATGCAGCAAAACTATATTCAAATTACTGGGGTCCTAGAGCAGGAAGAAAGAAAGCAGCCTACAGTTAAAATAGTAAGGGAATTCTTGGAAGAAACTTCCCCCAATATCACACAGGCGAAGATAATCATTCAGGAAAAAGAGAAAACGCCAGTTAGATTAACCCCGACCACCACACCAAAACACACACACACACACACACATAGTAGTCAAATTATCCAATTTCAAGGAGAAGGAGAGAATCATGGGAGCAAATAGAGAGAAAAAGCAGCCACATATAAAGGTAAACAGATAAGAATAAGCTCAGATCTCTCCACAGAGACCATACAGGAAAGAAAAAACTGAAATATGTTCCAAAAGCTGAAGGGCAACAACTGCAAACCAACAATCCCTTATCCAGCAAAGCTCTCCATCTAATTTGAAGGATGTGTTAAAATGTTCTCTGATAAGAAAATATTTAGAGAATTACAGAATTACAAAAATGCTTTCCAGTTCTTCATAGGCAGAAAAACAACTGCAGCAAAATATGAGACCACCACAGGGCGAAACACCACACAGAAAATAGCACATTGAAAGCAGTACAGACAACATTACAGATCCAATAGAGATACAAGAACAAGAATAATTTCCTCACACACTCATATCATCCTATAATGGAGAAGAAAGGAAAATACTAAATACAAATAGTATGAGGTGACAGCAACCCATCTACATTTAGATTTAGTAACACTGAATGTTAATGGTTTTAATGCATATATTAAAATATAAAGGACAGCAGACTGGATTAGACAACAAAATCCAGCAATCTGCTGCCTTCAAGAGACACATCTCAAACTCACAGACAAAAATAGACTGAAAGTCAAAGTATGGTGAAAAACTTACCTAGCGAATGGCAATAGAAAAAAGCAGGATTGGAAATACTAATATCTGACAAAACAGACATCAAGGTACATGACAAAATGACAGATAAGAATGGTCATTCCATAGTGCTCAAGGGATTGATAGACCAAGAACCCATAAACATTACAAACATATATATGCCCAATGAAAGACCCATGAAACCCATTAACCAAATTCTCAAAGAGATAAAGAGAGAAATCACTGGATCAACAATTATAGTAGGTGATTTCAATACACCACTCAAAAAGATAGATCAACAGGTAAGAAACTTAATGAAGCTGAAGACCTGAGCAACACAATCAAAAAACTCAAACTAATAGACATTTCAGAGCTTTATAGCAAATATAAAAAAACACATTCTTCTCCAATGTACACAACTCATACTTGAAAATATACCACATGCTGGGACACAAGGCAAGCTTGAGAAAATTCAAACACATAGAGGTGATTCAGACAACATTCTCTGACCACACCACCATAAAATTGTAAATTAACAATAGAAAGTACAAAAACAAAAGACAGACAGCTGGAGATTTAATAGCATACTTCTAAAAAATAGTGGTATTAACCTAAATTAGAAAGGAAATAAGAAGTTCCTAGAAGCCAAGGAGAATGACAATACAACATAGGAAAATTTATGGGACACAGCAAAGACAATTATCAGAAGCCACTTTATTGCAATAAATACACACATTTAAAAAGAGGAAAGAAGTATGGTCAGTACCTTAACTCAACACCTCCAGCAGCTAAAGCAGAGTCAACAACATAATCCTTCCAACAGCAAAAGAAAAGAAAATATAAATATTGTAGCAGAGATAAATGATCTGTAAAACAGAACAACAGAAAGAATCAACAGAGCAAAATCGTTGGCTCATTGAAAGGATCAACAAAATCAACAAACTGCTAGTAAAAGAAGGGCCATGTGTCAATATCTAGAATTAGGCATGCAACAGGGGAAATCACAACAGACCCCAATGAAATAATAAGATTAACTATGCAGTATTAGGAAAGACCGTATTCCAACAAATTCAATCATTTGGAGGACATGGACAAACACCTGGAAAATCACCCTTTTCCCAAATTAACACTTATGGACATTTGAAAACTTGAACAGACTCATAAACAAGGTCATCAAGAAACTCAACCAAGGAGACTGCAGCGCGCGCCGGTGACCCCGGGAGGTAGGGACATAGGTAGGCGGTTGGACGGTGTCGCGGCTCGCCGCCTACGGTCCCGCGACCCTTCCTCCTTCCCTTCTCCACCCCGGCGCCACGATGCCGCAGTTCCAGACCTGGGAGGAGTTCAGCCGCGCCGCCGAGAAGCTATACCTCGCTGACCCGATGAAGGCGCGTGTGGTTCTTAAATACAGGCACACTGATGGGAGTCTGTGTGTGAAAGTAACAGACGATGTAGTTTGTCTGGTGTACAGAACGGACCAAGCTCAAGATGTAAAGAAGATTGAGAAATTCCACAGTCAACTAATGCGACTTATGGTAGCCAAGGAGTCCTGAAGTGTTGCCATGGAAACAGACTGACTGGTTTAAGATGAAGACTCATGTTTTAGGAAGTAAATATCTTGAATTTGAGCAAATTTTGGAATAGAACATGCTTTATGTAACTGAGTGGGCTATTCATTATCTGAGATATCTTTTTTTGTACTTTATTTTTTGATGTTTA